CCAGTCCCAACAGAAAATACTATGTGATCAGCCTTACAGGAGATACTCAGTCAAAATCACAGAGACGGAAAGTGGAATGGTGGTTGTCAGGGGCTGTGGGGAGGTGAGAATAGGGAGTTACCATCTAAAGGGTACAGACTTTCAGTTTTACAAGAGGAAAAGAGCTATGGGAGATGAATGGGGTGATGGCTGCACAACGTTATGCACATACTTAATACCACTGAACTGTATACTTAAAAATGGTTAAGATGATAGATTTTGTTAGGTGTGTTTTACCATAATAAAAAATACTAGGGAAAAAAAAAAAAACAATACAGTGGTTTTACTTCATGAGTCTTTCACTCATGAAGAAAGGAAAAAAAAATCCTAACATTAAGTGGCTAGGTACTTGTGGCTTGGGATAAAGTTTCCAGCGTCAGCACCATACATGGGACCATATTTCATTATACACGGAAATAAAGAGGGTATACTCTGTTAATAAGCTGTGTTAATAAATAAGCTGTGTTGATCACTCAAAAAGCAGTTTTACTGATTTACTGATTACAAAGATCTTCTTGTCAAAAATGTTACTGAAAAGTTTTAATAAATTCTTTTAACAAGTGTGAAGTAGAAAAGAACAATACAGTAAGTATTTCATTAACCCATTTGACAAGTATTTCCTGAGTTACCTATCATATATCTGGCATTGTTCTAGGCTCTGGGGTTGTAAACAAGACACACAAAAATACCTTCCTGCATGAAGCTTTTCATGGACACATTATTTTATAAAAAGCATAATATTAAGAAGTATATTTTTAGTTCCAAATTAAGTAAATTAATTGTTAAAATTTTAGTTCAAATTTAATCTAAAGCCATAAATGTTTACATATTCAGTTGGATAAAAAGGTTTTAAAATCATTTCAGTGGGAAAACTAAGATTGTGTTAAGACGGCATTATACTAAAGCCTACACCACATAGAATTTGAAATATTGAAGGAATTGTAAATTTACATTTGAGCTATATGATTTAAAAAATCCACATTGCATTGTTACTTGAGCAAAGTACCTAAGAAATAATACTGTTCTTTAGATATTCTCTGCCTACATATAAACTCTTGGGACCGGGGCTCCTATTAGGTTTTACTATATAACACAATTCCTAAGTTAAGGTACAGAGTTTCTGTTTGGTCATGTTTCCAAACGTACTGGAGCTACTGACTGGAATATGCTTTTTCTTAGGTTATCTCCGACAGTGTTCTCCCACCCACGAGCACACTGTATTACCACAGGGTAAATGTGCTAACCTAAATTGGAGTTACCTCTACCCTATCTCCTTTGTCCTCCTCACAACCAACCCCTTAAATCAGCACTAGCATCTCATTTCTTCACGAACCTAGTTTTCTAAAAGCCAGTCTCCCTTTACTCTAGGGAAGGTGCATGTTTTCTCATCCTGTCCCCCTAAAAAGTCCTCCACCTTCTCGCTGTACTTAGGTCCATCACTGGGGTGTGCAATGGGGACCACAAAACTAGGAGAAAATATAATTAATGTCTGAAACTATCATATCTGCAGCCAAAAAAGTACTTGACTGTAAGGCTTTGATTACTTGATTTTGTTTCTGTTTGACATCATATAAGGTATGGAGAAAAAGATAAGGGAAATATTAAGTTTTACTTCTATTCTTCCTCCCCCAATTTTGTCTATTCAAATTTTCACCTTTAGAGCCAATTTATTTATAACTCATTTTTCCCATTCATGATATGAGCTGTTTCATTATAGTACTTAGAATTTGCATCTATTGACTTAGAAGAAAGCTCATATAATTAGAGAATGTATAAAAATATCATTAACAATGAAAAAGTCATATGTATAAATATTCAACGTATTGAAATATAAAACATAAAAATTGATTAAGCTTGTAATAAATAAATAAATAAATAAATAAATAAATAAATAAATAAGGGCCTCTAGTTTTCCAAACAGATATCACATCTTCTGCATAGACTCCCAGAACAATGATGTTTATTTTTAAGAAATCGTCCTTTCCGTATTTCCCGTTCTAACACACTGTTTTAATGAGACCACCACACCTTACGGTCCGGCCCTCCGAGGGTACTGCACAATCTCAGCAGTAGAGCAGATTTCTTGAGGGCAGATTAGCAATTAGGTCATGAAAAACAGGCAGCATAAAATAGCTACTGCTAATCTACATGAGAAGCATTTACTCAATTAAGCAGATGGAAATGTTATTATGAACTCAGTACTCCAATGATGGTCTTTAAAATTAAGAAGGATAGGGGCAAATGAAATGCACACTGGGGGATTTGGGGCCTTTATATATTAATTCTAAAGTATACAATGCAGAACACTGTAATGAAGTTAACAAAATTAATTAAAAGATTCTTTGCATGTAACCATTAGAGACTACATTAAAAAATACATGACAGTTTCTGACATTATTAATAATGTGACTGTACTTTAACATTCTTAATGTTGATACCATGACCTTTCCCTAATGTACCACTGATACCAAAAACATGAGCATGAGAAGTCTTATTACTCATCGCTGGTATGAATACGGTTTTTAATATGCTTTCTGGTAGTGCTGTTTCCATTTTGAGTTTCAATAACTGATAAGCTTGTGATGAATTTTCAAATATTTAAAAGATTACTACGTATTTTTACTAGCAAACAGTTTTCATATATTTATGTATTCGAACATGTGTTTCTTTACATCATCTATTTATTAGACAATAACAAAAAAAACCAGAATTATTAATCTGCTTAAAAACTTCCATCAAACTCTTAGAACAAAAATTTTCAAGTGACTTTGGGAAAATGGGTCACAAACAAGGAATTTTTACATTGTGATAAAATATCTTACATTGTGATACATATTTTATGTCTAACTCCTATTTTCCAAGTTTTAGTGTATAAACTTAACAAATTATTATTACAGAGTTCTAATATATATGCCAAAATTATAACAATTAAGTGGTTTGTTACAAAAGCTACATAAAAATAAGCTGTGCCTATGAAAGCTATAAAATGTATATCCACATTAACTCTAAATATTACATTTAGACTTTTATTGATTTACTCACCGTAATTAAAACTTCTCAACAATTACTATAACAAACTTGTTTCAATATTTTTAATATAACAATAATAGTCATTTGCCCACTCATTCTCCCCAACGCTTATGTAATCTTCTATCATCCTAAACTCTTTCTTAACAGAAATCTACTTTTTGATATCCTTGGCTTGAAAATTACATAGTATGTAGAGTTCTTGAGTTTATTTAAGTTTATTTAAGTTTATTTACTTTGAGAGAGACAGAGACAGCATGCGCAGGGAAGGGGCAGAGAGAGAGAGAGAGAGAGAAAGAGAGAGAGGAGAGACAGAACCACAAGCAGGCTCTGCACTGACTGAAGCGGGGCTCGAACTCATGAAACCGTGAGATCAGGACCTGAGCCGAAACTGAGAGTCAGACTGATTCTTAATGGACTGAGCCACCCAAGTACGCTGAAACTTTAGAAGTTAAATTATGTGCTCCTTAAAACAGAGTTCTATACAGGATAGGTGCTCATTAATATTCATGGCATGACATTAATTCATATATTCATCCAATATATCCATTTACTGTGCGCCAGGACACTGTAGTTAATTCTGCAGACATAAAGATAAAAAAGAAACAGCCCCTGTTCTAAAGCTGCCCAGACACCTGAAGGATTGTGGTAGAGAGAAAAACGGACCCTTGAAGATGTCCACATTCTATTCCCGGAGTCTGGCAATATTTTACCTTAGATGGCAAAAGGGATTTTGCAGATATGATTAAGATTGAGCACCCTGAAAAGGGAGACTATCCCGAATTACCCAAATTTGCCCAGTCTAATCACATGGGCCCTTAAAAGCAGAAACTTTTCCCAGTTACAGTCAAAGAAAGACGTGACTCCAGAAGCAAAGTCGGACATCACACTGCTGGCTTTGGCTCAGTCGGTTAAGCCTCCAATTCTTGATTTTGGCTCAGGTCAAGATTTCATGGTTCGTGAGTTGGAGTCCCACGGTTGGACTCCATGCAGACAGTGTGGAACCTGCTTGGGATTCTCTCTCTCTCATGTGCGTGCATTCTCTCTCTCTCTCAAAATAAATAAGCTAAATTTTTATATGTTTATTTATTTTTGAAAAAGAGAGAGAGAGAGAGAGCAAGCAGGGAAGGGGCAAAGAGACAGTGAGACAGAGAATCTGAAGCAGGCTCCAGGCTCTGAGCTGTCAGCACAGAGCCCAATCGGGGGCTCGAACCCACAAACTGCAAGATCATGACCTGAGCCAAAGTCGCATGCTTAACTGGCTGGGCCACCCAGGTACCCCAATAAATAAACTTAAAAAAAATAAAGCAAAGTAAAGGGAGGAGGGGATATATGTGGGAAAGATGTAGATCTGTCAAAATGAGACAAAAAGACCGGGGCTGGAGAAATGCCTTCTTTAATTGTATGTTTAACTTTTCCTAAAATCAGGAAGAACTGCCTTTAGTGTTCAATAGAAGACTTCAACACACCGATAATTTAGTCCAGGGTTTTCATGTTGTATAATAATACATCAACTAATGATGAAGCAAAGACTTTCAGAACAAAAGTCATTGCTATTTTCAGGTTTCTGAGTTGATACTGTTTTACAGCAAGTTGAATGACCAACTGGACAGAAATGCCACTAAATATCAATGACAATTACAACACTGGGGTATGTTAGGACTTCCTTGATTTGGGATGCTTCCTAGATTTGACAAACTATATGACTTCATGTGGATTTTATCCCCCCTCTGATACTGAACTATGGGTGGCTCAGCAATAACTAATATAGTACTTTCCACATCTAATACATTAAGGAAGTAACTGCTCTTAGAGAATGGTAATGAAAGCACAGAAAATTTAATTACTTTTGACTTTAAAGGAAAATCCAAATTTAAATAATCAGTCTTATGTGATATTGTTAACACAGTAAGAAGACAATGTTTAAAACTCACTTTGAAGTGTTTCAAGTTCAGCCCGACTCAATGCATCTTCCTTTCTCTTCAATCTTGTTTCTTTATATTTAGCATAAAACTCCCCGGCATCCTTAAAAAAGAAGTTACAAAGAAATTAACATAAAGATCGGTTTGCTTTGATACTACGTCACGCACAACTTCATTTTATTTATTTATTTATTTAAAAAAAATTTTTTTTTTCAACGTTTTTATTTATTTTTGGGACAGAGAGAGACAGAGCATGAACGGGAGAGGGTCAGAGAGAGAGGGAGACACAGAATCCGAGACAGGCTCCAGGCTCCGAGCTGTCAGCACAGAGCCCGACGCGGGGCTTGAACTCACGGACCGCGAGATTGTGACCTGAGCTGAAGTCGGACGCTTAACCGACTGCGCCACCCAGGCGCCCCACGCACAACTTCATTTTAAAGCCGTGTATTGTCTTCCTTTCAGTTTATGGTTTTAAATTGTATGATGAACACAAGAAACAATAAATGTTTCTCCCCGATTTTTCTCTCTCAGAGAGCTTATTTAGTGAGGCCAGAACCTGCGTGAGTATAAATCTAAGGAGAGTTTTTTCTCTCGGACATGGAAGGGAGGACTCCTCTTCCTGTTTCCTACCGCTGTTTGTGTTCTCAACGTTGGGCTACTCCATGGACAAAGAGAAGACACACTCGCTGAATTAAGCTAAATGGGCACAGTAAGTTATGTCACTGTGACTAACAAAGCACTATTTTCATATTCATCCCTTCACCTCAAAAGATTTTCAAAATTATCATATGCAAATCTGATTAAGAAACCTATCTGACCCTGTCAATACAAGTGAAGATGTCATTCCTCCTTCCACCACACTTAGAGATCCGTTCCTGTCATGGAGGCTTGAGGACTGAGGACACATACTCAGGTGTCCAAATACAGTGGCTAAAGTGTCAAGGAGTGGCACACAGGCAAGACTCTAGCAGAGTGCTGAAAAAAGATCAGGCCTACAATAATCACAAACGTGGAGATCAACAAGTTGATGCTCTAAGCATATGAAGATCCTGACAATGAGAAAAACAGAACAGGTAATTTTCCACTACCTCTTGGCTTCAACTTCATTCATCACACAGCAATACTACTTGTCACTGCCAGGCCACATTGTGCTTTTAAGTCTTTGCATACCCTTTGCCCACTAACTAGAATATTTTGCTCCCCTGCCATTATTTTGATGAACTCCTATTCATCCCTGAAAACCATTCAAGCATCACCTCCTTTTGCAAGGTTTTCTGACCTTCCCTGGCAGAGGAATTCTCTCCTGTATACTGCTTCTGTGTTTAAGCACACTTCTAGGATTGTTTGTATCATGCTATATTCTCTCCTAGAAAATGGGAAATCTGAGACAGGGGTACTTGTGTGCCCAGAGCACAGAATCTGGTATAAAACAGGTACACAATAAATATTCATTGAACTGAACTAGGTCAAAATATATGAGAAATCTTGTAAAGGAAGAAATGAAAGGGCTTGTGTGTGGAATAGGAAAAAGAGAGCTCTCAAGGATTAACTCTAGGGTAACATTCCCAGATTTTAAGATTCCTAGGGCAGATACATCATAGACTCATCTGAGAGGGTTTATTTTTGAAGGAAATACAGGAACAAAAGCTCTATCTTGATTCAAATGGAAATGCATGAACACTTAAACCCTAGAATAGAATTTTCTCTTTTCATCTGTGACCGTCCAAGAAGAGTTAAAGCTTTTCTTCGAGTCTGTATCTCTTGGGCTTATATCAGAACTCTTCCATCTGACGATGAATTAGGTAAATCATAGGCATTCCTAAAATCACTGGATCAGTATAATAAAGATGTATCTCTTATTCTCCCATTCTCATTTTCATGTTCCTACCTCATTTCTACCAGGACTCCACAAGCCCTGCGTCAGCGAAATAATGGTGTAACTTGAAGGGTACAGAAAGTCATGAATCCAACATACTCATCCTCCCAGTCCATATATACTTTAAAATGCAACAGGATTTGGGATTAAGGATTTATAGCCCCTTAACATTCCCTGCACCCCTAAAAAAACCTCAGCCCTGGAATACTCTTATTTTCTTTAAGCCACATCAGTCACTTGTTCCATGACGTGAATGAATGAATGAATGAGCTTATTACCTTCTTTCCAGGCAGTAGTTTTTATTTTTTATTTATTAAAAAAAATTTTTTTAAATGTTTATTTACTTTTGAGAGAGAGAGTGAGAATGCAAGCTGGGGAGAGGCAGAGAGAGAGGGAGACACAGAATCCGAACCAGGCTCCAGGCTCTGAGCTGTCAGCACAGAGCCCGACGCAGGGCTAGAACCCACAAACCTTGAGATCATGACCTGAGCTGAAGTCGGACACTTAACCGACTGAGCCACTCAGGCGCCCCCAGGCAGTAGTTTTTAATAGTAGGGAAAAGGTCAGGATAGCACTGGACCCTTGAAGGGAGCAGGAAAGGTGGCACCATACAAGAAAAAGGGGCACAGATAAGTTATCTATGAGATGTGAAAGAAGGTAGGTTGAAATCAAACATCATAGTACAGTATAGTGAGAGAAAATACAGTGATTACTAGGACAGATTTTGGAGCCAGACATGACTTGAATTAAGGTCTCAGCTCTGCCTTCTTTCAGCCTAAGTAGGATTCAGCAAATTACTTCACTCAGCGTTGTGTGAATTATCTCATTCATAAATGGGGACGATCACAGAGCTACTGCGAAGACTGAGGTGCTGATACATGTATCAAACACTCAGAATAACATCTTGCACACAGGCCCTCTATATGTTACCTATTTTTATTATTACTTATTTTACCAAAGCCTTATTCTCTACCACAAAAAGTGAGTTTTTCTGCTTCAGACCTCACCAAAACTCCCGCAGAATCCTATAACTTCTTGCTTATGAGGCTTTCTTCACCTGCACCCTCTCAAAACAAAAATCTTTTACTTGGTAATAGCAGCCTCTTCCTAGTGGTTCTACCAAACTTGAATATTTCTCTGTTCGTGTTTCTGCGTCCTGCTACAGTACAGAATTCCACTAAAAATTCCTCTTTGAAATTACCCATTTGACCCCAAAATCACACTTATCTGAGGATCATTACCCACTCAGTCACTTTACCCTACTTCACCTAATTCCAAGAGTTTTAACACATTCCCCAATTGCACTCACGGTTTGTTCTAGGCCAAGAATCCGTTCCTTCTTTTGCTCCGTTTCTAAGCATTTATTTAAATGTTCCTCATCCTTTTTCTTGTCATATCGTACTTGTACTTGTAAACCATAATAACAATATGCCTACTCCAGAAAGGCTCACTTCTGTAAGAAACCTATGATCTCAAAGAACTCTACTGCATTCAACACCCTACACCACTCCAACCCTCCTTGTGTTCAGTTTGGTGTACCACACATTAAGGTACACTGACAAACTGGAACACTTTAAAAGGAAAGTGATCAAATGGTAGGGAAGCTTGAAATTATTTCTAAAAAGGGGGTGGAGATCAGATTAGAGATAACCTGATAACTATCATAGAATATCTTAAGGGTCATTATAGGAGAGAATGGTGTATTCTAGAGATGGAAGTTTTGATTTTGGATAAATATAAAGAAGAGCTTTGTAATAATTAAAATTACCTTAAAATGAAAGAGACTGATCTCAAAGGTAATATTCTTTTTTTTTTATTTTTTATTTTTCAACATTTATTTATTTTTGGGACAGAGAGAGACAGAGCATGAACGGGGGAGGGGCAGAGAGAGAGGGAGACACATAATCGGAAACAGGCTCCAGGCTCTGAGCCATCAGCCCAGAGCCTGATGCGGGGCTCGAACTCACGGACCGCGAGATCGTGACCTGGCTGAAGTCGGACGCTTAACCGACTGCGCCACCCAGGCGCCCCACAAAGGTAATATTCAAGAAGAGACCTATGGCTATTATTTAAGGTATTCTAAGTGAGAATCACATAGTCAAAGGGGTTGAATGAGAGTAGTTGTTTTGGAATCAAAAACAAATTTTTTTTTTAGTTAGTTTGTTTTAAGTTATTATTTGACTTCCAGTTAGTTAACATATTGTGTAATATTTCTTTCAGGAGTGGAATTTACTGATTTATGACTTACATATAACAGCCAATGCTCATCACAACAAGTGCCCTCCTTAATACCCACCAGCATTTTTTTTTTAAATTTTTTAACGTTTATTTATTTTTGAGACAGAGACAGAGCATGAATGGGGGAGGGTCAGAGAGAGGGAGACACAGAATCTGAAACAGGCTCCAGGCTCTGAGCTGGCAGCACAGAGCCCGACGCGGGGCTTGAACTCACGGACGGCGAGATCGTGACCTGGCTGAAGTCGGCCGCTTAACCGACTGAGCCACCCAGGCGCCCCATACCCACCAGCATTTTAACCCATCCCCCTGCCCACTTCCCTTCCAGCAGCCCTCAGTTTGTTCTCCATAGTTAAGAGTCTGTTTTATGGTTTCCTCTCTATTTTTCCTCCTATGTTCATCTGTTTCATTTCTTTTTTTTTTTTTAATATTTTTTTAAATGTTTTATTTATTTTTGAGACAGACACAGAGCATGAACGGGGGAGGGGCAGAGAGAGAGGGAGACACAGAATCGGAAACAGGCTCCAGGCTCTGAGCCATCAGCCCAGAGCCCGACGCGGGGCTCGAACTCATGGACCGCGAGATCGTGACCTGAGCTGAAGTCGGACCCTTAACCGACTGACCCACCCAGGCGCCCCCATCTGTTTCATTTCTTAAATTCCACAGATGCATGAAATCATATGGTATTTGTCTTTCTGTTTCTGAATTACTTTGCTTATGATAATAGTCTCTAGCTCCATCAACAAAATGCAATTTTGCAATTGCAAAAGGCAAGATTTTGTTCTTTTTTTGTGGCTGAGTAACATTCAATTGCACATATATGCTACCTCTTCTTTCACTTGATCTTGGCCAAAAGGCCAAGAAGCGATATATACGTAGTACCTCTTCTTTAATCCATTCATCAGTCAATGGACATTTGGGCTCTTTCCAAAATTTGGCTAGTGTTGACAATGTTGCTATAAATAATGGGGTGCATGTTTCCCTTTTAATTG